GAATACGTTCGACATACTGCGTAGCGTGTGTACAAAAGCTGTTATACATTCCTTTATTATCCCCTATGAAGTAAGGCTCATATTCATATGTTAATGCATGAGTCACCGCATATCTTCTTTACAGTCTAACACTTCTCCCTGTAATACCTGGTCATTATAGAGGGAGTGATGCGGGGAGGGTATAAATACTGTAATTAACGGCGTGGTGAGATTCTCTAGGATACACCTATTTTGTTCGATATGAGTGATCTATTGCAGATTAGGGAGTCAATTACTGTCGCATTGCAAAATAAATCGTAACATTTACCCCCAGGCAGTTCTACAGGCGATTTTAGCAATAAATGTCAATGTTACACAAGTACGTCGACTTAGGAACGTCCACGACTACGACTGTTTTGTGTGTTATTATTTATGCTTTGATCACTGGATTGTCTGGTCCAGACTCGATACAGGCCGCTGTCATATAGCTGGAATATTGCTGAGTGGGGCGTTAATCTAAACCCACTCACTCACTATTATTCGTGCATGCGTCATTAAATATTATACTGTCCAAATTGACAAACGTTTGGAAATTGTAATTTAATAACAGCATAAGTGTCATTATAAATGTTCTTGTTGAAACTGTGAAACAAACCCATCAGCTGTTAAAGCAAGCACGTGAACAGAGTTTACCCGTCTTCGCTAATAAGGTGATTTATTTCAGTCACAGACTGTCAAATTCCTGTCGTAATCTGTCGAAAAGGCGTAACGCTTAGTGCTTTGCTTTCATTTGACCTTTAAAGGTGAGCGACAGAACGTGATATGAACGCCGATTTGAAGGTGTCTTGGTGGGAAATGTACATCAAATGTGAAATCAGCCTCAGATCTTTCACTGATATACAGACACTATAAACTATTTGTAAATTACCTCAGTGAATAAGATTGGTTATGTATATACAATGCATGTACAACACGAAGTGTTAACGCCGTTTAATGACAGTTATCTGTAAGTAAACATAAGGTGGGGTTTAAATGCATTCCTGTACGACGTACTTTAGATATGCACATGTACCAGAAATGGATGTGTTTACTTATTACATATAATACACGTATTATATCTATCATACCCTGCATCAAAAAATTATGCATAACATTATGTATAACACGTTTCCACTGTTATACATAGTTCAGACTGATACCTCAAATATCAGTTTAAGAAGATCATAACCCATTATGAGATTTATCGATATCAATAAAAGAATCAGAATGTTTTTAGCAATAGGCCATTATCAAACAAACATCAGCCCAACCATTACGAAAGTAAATATTGTGATTTTTTTTCACAATGTTCATTTTAGGTGTATAATTCGAATAAAAAACTTACTTCAACTTGTAGAAACAAATATCCGTATAGTCAGCTTCGGCTTCAAGATTTTTATCACAAACGTCTGGCTGAGCGTAATGTCCCATTGTTTTCTGTTGTCTGTTTGACGAGTTTCACTATTGTACATCCCTTTCTTGCCTCCTTCTCTCTGGTGCTTTCTATGTGCCGCGCCTTCGCTTAATGACAGCTTCACAACGTGCCTTGGTGAAAACAGCCTGACGTAAGGGTCCGATACTCGGAAAACGTGTGAGAAACTCTGATTGGCTGGCGCTAACGACCGTGAGCCAGTCAGCGTCGAGATAACATTTCCCATGTCGGTAGGTGTTGAGGCTCATTTGTTTGGTCGGCCAGTGAGGCTTTGAGATATTTATTTGTAATCTTTCGTTGATCTATGTCAACAATTAAAGTATTGCTGATCGTGAACAGATCTTACTTACAACAGCTTTCTTAGCAGGGTTATATTCAATGGTGTTAGCTCACTACCCTCACCAAATATATGCATTTTACAATAACGCTTTTCTGCGTTAATCAAAGTTAAACTGATGTAAATTGTTTAAAGTTCATAAATAATCTTCATTTAAAAAATATGCAGTTAAATACCATTAAATAAATTTATTTTATGTTCTAAGCAGTAATCACTGAATTTGTTGTACGTAAATCTCAGATCTCCGTGGAAAACCAGATCCTAATAAAATACGCCCATTTATGAATGAGCGTATACAGGAACCAGGGTAAAAATATGCCATATATGGAAAGCGACTGTACTCGGAATTTATTGACTGCAACGATAGCCGTCACTCGCTGTCTCTAGGTCAACGATTTCAATAAACAGGAAGGGCTCTATCTAATTGATTCTGATTTATTGAATGTTCAAGCACCCGACACATATTTCACAATCGAGTAAGGAATTTAAAGAACGCGTTGTATTATTGACATGGCGACGAAATATCTCAAACATCCGCCTATTCAAAGCTGAAATTGACAATAACAGACTCTCTGAGGCAGGTAATTGAAGGTAAGAAAGAACAAATCTGACCCAAATGTATGTCACATTCAGGGCACACAGAGACAGACCCATGCTGTGTAGAGCTATTTACACGCTTGTTAATGTCACAGGCGAATGTCGTGGGAATGATTCTAACGCTGTATATAGAACATTAACATCGAAACCTACCGGTGTGTTTTTCAGCGGGTATGAAATTAACAAGTGTCGATGACGGGGCGTCACGCTACTTGTCCACGAGGCGCATAAACCTCACAGCACGAGACATCATTGTCAATTTCACGTGATGGCATGATATAAGAGTTTAGACACTGTTATGGACACATTAAACAAGAACAGAATTACACTGACCTGTAGGATGTTATTTCACCAATCCAAACAGAAAATACATGTATATAACATGTCTTCACAATGGTATTATCGGTATATCTTAGGACCTTGATGTTTATGGGGTGTATATATATTCTCAAATTCTGCATTTTAATGACAAACGCTGCATAGGCCATAATTCATTTGTTATGAATATACAGCTTGAATAAACTCTTGCAGAGGGTGCTTATCATCTAAAAAGGTAACAACTGAAAATTAATATTCATGAAAACAAACGCATATTCTCTGGTAGAAAAAGGGTGTTAAAAACCCTTGTTCGATTACAACACTAACATAAGCATGACTGTGCATATACCTCACATCAAAGAGTGATCTGCCCACCCGTCACAAACACATGCAAAGGAAAGTCAATTCTGTAGCTGAAAACACATTTGGTACAAGTCAAACTAGGGTACTACACCGGTAAACAATTTGGGGCAATTATGCGTTAAACGTTTGGAATTGTCCACATGTCTACGCAAATGTTTTCTCAAAGAACTATTTTGAGAGCGATATTCATGTATCCCTGTTGTAAAACATGGAACCTGTTGTACAGAATCTCATTACAATATTAACAGCTCACGACTCCAGTTGTAGAAACTCTCCACTCAACATTCTTACACAAGTGATATAGGTCTTTGACTGTATGATGTCATTATATTTCAAATTTCGCAGCAGCGTCGTGGTTGACCGCCCACTCCGTCTTGTATCCGCTACTCAACACGCCTCCTTACGACAGTAACAAAGTATTTCACGGAGGAGAAAATCTATTTTCTGCATAATTTAGGCACTCAAAGAATTATGCAGGTTATTCTCAGCTGCTCGCAGGTAAGATCAATCAAAGCGCCCCCTACCTGAGTTTTCCTACAATACCAGGTATGCGGGGATGTGACTCATCTGTATCTTATGTCAATATGGAGTTGAGATGTATAAAAGAAACTATTCGATTTCTAAAGACCACCGCCCTGTCCCATATCGACCCACGTAAATAGCCTAAGTGGGTCTTACACAGTATATTATCTTATGTGTCTCAGGTAAATCAACGATATTGATAAATACCATTCTCGTCAAACAATGTTTTGCTCAGATACTGACTAATATAGACTTGCAAAGACGTTTCTGTCTATTGGGTGTGATGATGCAATGGAGCTTCGTTAATTAAAACCTACATCGGCTATCACGTCGAGATATATATAGTGTTAATGTTGAATGTGGAGCAAGTGTTTATCATACTGAGCCGTAGTTGCCCATGGCAACGTGATCACGCCCACAGTACTGAATAGAGAGTGAATGTTGTTTTATGACGCAGTCAGTATTACTCAAGCTATATAACGCTGCCGATTAACATTCTGGGATTGTCAAACCAGTTGTGTTGTGTTTTAAGTGAACAATTGACTTGCCCTGCATGTGTTTGTGACGAATGATACAGATGGGTCAGGACACACCTTATCATCAGGATCACTATCTTATAACGGTTCATAAACACCTGCTTATGATCAAGCCGTAATCATATAATGGACAGCTGTGATTTAACTGAAATAATACCTTTTTTAAAACACTCCACTCAACAACTTGCATCAAGCAATTCTACACATCACATAGACAACTACACATCACATATTGGACTTGATAGCGGTTTATATAACATTCGGGGAGAATGAGTCTTTCAAGATGTTAGCAAGTTGTATAAACTGACCAGCTGTCGTGTATAAACTGGAGATTTAATATTTGGGAAAATAAGAAAGATTAAATTCTAACAGTAAAATTCAGCGTGCTAAAAAACATAATTTCCTATTTTGCCTAGTTTTTATTAATTATCATATGTTCCCGTGTGTTTTTTTACAGATGACCAAATCAAATGTCTTTGCATGAGTGACACCTGTTGGTGACACCTGTTGGCAGGATACGCTAGTATTTTCGCGAACACCTGCTATCATCACCCGTTGATAGTGATTCATAAAACACATTCTCACGTTATAGTCGGAGTGAACTATACTTTTAGCACATATTTCTTATGATTGTGGAAATTCCTTAGGTGCATCAATATCCGTGACGTTAAACGTCGTACAGTGTAATAAAACCACCGAGGGCGACATGAACAAGCAGTGGCCAATTATCCCACTCCCATATAACATACATCAAACTGTCATCATCTGACACAGCATGCTATAATATTCACCGCTCTCATTCTACCCATAGTCCACTGACATACTAAACTAATCAATTACACAGACATGTGCCGAGCTCTTCCCGTGTCAATCATTGCTGATATATACAAGCTGTGGGAAACATATCGACAGCGTGTTGACGGGGTTTCTTCTGAACTGTCACCATTGTATATCGACAAGCTATGAGTCACGTGCTGTTAAGGTAAATATAGTATAAACACCGTATTAAAAGAGCTATCCCACTGGGCTATAAAGAAGCCCACATTGATATGTACAAGGAAACGGGTCTTGGCGACAGACATGTGTCCGAGATAATGGATACGCCCTTTGTCTATTTCAACGCTCAATAGTAGCCTACACAGTAGGAGATAAAGCGGTGACTGTTTATGCAGTGGGCTGTGGAATGTTGTTATACTACATTACTTTTCATCCGAACAGTTGTCCACTTCATAAGATTCAATTATATGGATCTCCTTAGAGCATTATGGGGGCGGTGGGGTAGCCTAGTGGTTAAAGCGTTGGCTCTTCACGCCGAAGACCCGGGTTCGAATCCCCACATGGGTACAATGTTATACTCTGCTGTTGGTGCTAATTATTAACTGAGATGGTTGTACTCTGCTGTTGGTGCTAATTATTAACTGAGATGGTTTCTGATGTTTGTATCCTCTGAAATTTTGAAGGGGCGGTGGGGTAGCCTAATGGTTAAAGCGTTGGCTCTTCACGCCGAAGACCCGGGTTCGAATCCCCACATGGGCACAATGTGTGAAGCCCATTTCTGGTGTCCCCCGCCAGGATGTTGCTGGAATATTGCTAAAAGCGGCGTAAAACCAAACTCAGTCAGTCAGTCAGTTAGATCATCAGGGGCGGTGGGGTAGAACAATGGCTAAGGCGTTTGCTCGTCACGCCGAAGACCTGGGTTCGATTCCCCACGTGGGTGAAATCTGTCAAGCCCATTTCTGGTGTTCCCAGCTGTGATATTGCTAGAATCGGCGTAAAACTAAATTCACTCTCTCACCTTAGAGAATTATACAGATCTTTAAACAAAATTACACAAAAACCCAAGCAAGTCTATAATAGGTAAATATAGGTTGAACATGTTTTTGTCTGTCTGTCTGTCTGCTACCCCGCCGACCTGAATTATAGGGTGTTTATACAGTGTCGTAAACATTCATGTAGACACTCATTCAAGATACGGAAGCTGGTGTTGACGAATGAATTATCATTTTTAATATTTTCAAGCAAAAAAGATGACTATCTAAACTATATGCAGTAGGAAGTGTTAATGCACACACAGATCGTTACTTCAGTAGGCGAATCCAATATTTAGGGACAGGGACAAAACACAGGTCTACACAAAGATCTATGCAGGTGCGACTATCTGCTAGATTGAATGACGCCCACCCTAACTAACCATTCGTAGCCACCCAGCCAACTGCCGGGTACCCATATATGAAGGTTGATGCATTCGATACCGAAATAATAGTCATCGCTGTGTTTTGATTTGAGGTCAACTCTAGTTTTCAGATCTATTCTTTCTCCTGCCCACAGTTTCGTTACAAAGATACACAGTTACTTTTTTTGTAGGAGGAATTGAATCGTAAATATTTTACCTTTAATTAATACTTCTCTGATGTGATCAGATCCTCTCTGAGTAATACGTGATGGAGCTGTGCCTCAGATATCGACACGATCTAACATCCTGGTATTTCCCGGTTAACTATAGGACACTACATGTCAGTATCATGGTCACACATACACAGCGTGAAATATGCAACATCCCTTGATACTATTGTCATGGACGGTCAAAGCATTAAGTGAAATGTAATACCTACTGATAATATTGTTTACCTGGGCGTTGACCATTTTAATTGTTCGACATGAAACACTTTTCAAGCGTCAGTGGTGAAATGTGTTGAAATATCTGACTCTTTCATGATATATAGCGCCGCAATAAGAGTGAGTGAGAATAATAATCACTATCGTGAATTGTAATATAAAGTTCATTACTATAACTGACTGACTGAGTATTATTTTACGCCGCTTTTAGCAATATTCCAGCAATATCACGGCGGGGGACACCAGAAATGGGCTTCACACATTGTACCCATGTGGGGATTCGAACCCGGGTCTTCGGCGTGACGAGCCAACGCTTTAACCACTAGGCTACCCCACCGCCCCTCATTACTATGAAAACGTCTCGATACAGATAACTTAATCGATGAATGTCATTTCGGGATGCAGATCCAGGATTTTGAAATGTTTGTCGGATGAGGTGGGGATGGAGGAGTGTTAGGGGCGCACGGAATACCCAAACAACGAGTGAGCGAGTTTAGTTTTGCGCTGCTTATACCAATATTCCAAAAATATCACGGCGGGGGACACCAGAAATGGTCTTCACACATTGTACCCATGTAGGGAATCGAACCCAGGTCTTCGGCGTTACGAGCGAATGCTTCCCCACGACAAGAACACCGATATGACGTTAAAACTTCGGAGAGAGGTTAAACGATTAATCAAACAGGAAGATCTACCAATTATTCATCGTCAATCAACAAGTTGTTGGCCCCCGATTCTTGTCGAGTGAATCAGATACAGGTCATTGTTGCAACAGGTTCGATACACGAGCAGAGCTCAACACAATAAACAGGGAAAATTCCACTTCGCCAGATCGCCTCGTCCCTCCCAAATTCCCTTTCATCGTTTACAGGTGAGGGCAGCGTCAAAAGGTTGCCCCAGCCGGAATGCACGCTCCGCTGCTGAACGGTGGGTTCCTGTTTACAGAAATACGACACCTAAACGCGCGTGGCTGGCACGTGCAGGCGCCAATCTCTCGTCACGTTCTCCTCGGCTGTAATATACATTACACTTTGACCTCCTGCATCTTAGAAATCTTCAAAATTACAGGATGTGTTCATGAGTTGGATTCTCAATATTTAGCATCCGCAGTAGGAAAACGCATGGCTACCTTACTGAAGGTCAACGATGAACTACATGTATTTTAATGGACGCATATATGAACATCAGGAACAATATTATTGTGTGTGTGAATCTCGGGTTTATTTGTTACAATAAAAATTACATATATTCAGAGACTAAGAGTTAGTCTAGCGTATAGTCGTCGGTAACGGGATGAGGATAATCTTTAATGTACCATCATGTCACTCGTACTTAAATTACCGTACTTAGTGTACAGTTACGACATCCTAGTTGCAGGTTCTTCCTCTCAGTTTACGTCCTCTTTTCAGGTCATCAAAGGACAAAGTGCAATTGGACTAAACATTTCGAAACCTAAAGGTTGGCAGAATTCTTACGCATGACGAAAGTCAGGAATCTGCAACATCCATCGCAGACAGAGGTGCGGCTCAACTCGGGGGCAAAGCTACGCCGCAAAAACAGTCACGTGACTTCGTGGGAGCTGGAAGCGTGCCAGCTGCATGAAGTGAATGACTCCGCGAGTGTACAAAGACCGTAAATATGGCCAACTGCTTGAGACACACACCACGTGAAGTACTAGTCGAGTAATTAAAGCAATAAATGACGCCTTATCGCTAAGCTATCACGTTTCATAGGTGGAGTTTGACCGATAACCTTTCAGGTGCTAATTGCTACCTACATGAACTCATTAGGAACCTATGTTTTAATGAACATGTTAATGAGCTGTATAGAAACCAGGTTGTATACCCTATTACTGGTAAGTGCCGTTAGGCGACTGCCAGTGCATTTGAAATGGTAGGTTGGTTCGAAAAGGCGGTTGGTTTGTGTGGATGTGTGTTGGTTGATTGGCTGTGTTGGTTGACTGGTTGTAAAGGCTGGTTGTGTGTTGCTCGATTGGTTGGTAAAGTTGGTTGTGTGTTGCTCGATTGGTTGGTTAAGTTGGTTGTGTGTTGCTCTATTGGTTGGTTAAGTTGGTTGAATGTTGCTCGATTGGTTGGTTAAGTTGGTTGTGTGTTGCTCGATTGGTTGGTTAAGTTGGTTGTGTGTTGCTCGATTGGTTGGTTAAGTTGATTGTGTGTTGCTCGATTGGTTGGTTAAGTTGGTTGAATGTTGCTCGATTGGTTGGTTAAGTAGGTTGTGTGTTGCTCGATTGGTTGGTTAAGTTGGTTGTGTGTTGCTCGATTGGTTGGTGAAGTTGGTTGTGTGTTGCTCGATTGGTTGGTTAAGTTGGTTGTGTGTTGCTCGATTGGTTGGTTAAGTTGGTTGAATGTTGCTCGATTGGTGGGTTAAGTTTGCTGTGTGTTGCTTGATTGGTTGGTTAAGTTGGTTGTGTGTTGCTCGATTGGTTGGTTAAGTTGGTTGTATGTTGCTCGATTGGTTGGTTAAGTTGGTTGTATGTTGCTCGATTGGTTGGTTAAGTTGGTTGTTTGTTGATCGATTAACTGAATAAGTTGGTTGGTTGTTGGTTGACTGTTTGTTTGGGTATGCGATTGTATATTCTCTAACGCCTCACTTAGACTGACGCTTAGTCCCTGAATATAAGTAATTTTGATAGTAACAAACCCATTTAAAAGGAGCCCTGAACCTGATTAAATCTAGACTTGCTTCATTTAGTGCTTTAGCATATAATGTGGTACAGGGACTGTGAGACAGACTACACCTAACTCAGCAGGCGGCGGTCTGAATATATTCGAATCTGAACCAGACAATCCAGTGACTGACATCATAAGCATTGATCTATGCAGTTTGGCGTTCAATGACACCAACATAATATATTGAATTTGATTTTGCTGCACGTGTGTTTTCTGCGTATAAACAAAACGACATTTAGCTTCTGAAAAAGGAAATGCTTAATTCGGATCGTGACACCTTTGGCACGCAGAGCGAAATTTATTCCGATGAGAGATTTATGAAAATCAGCATCCATATCTTATCTCACATGCGTAGCTTTATCTTATCTCCCGCACATGATGTCGATACGACCATCGCTATCTCACACCCTGCCATCTCCGTTATCTCAAAGTATCGCCTCAGGTCCATATCGAACAGTGGGATTCATCCCAGCTGCGGCTTACGTATCTATTATCCGTATATTTTTGTTAAGGTTTCACCAGATTTTTATTTGTTAGTCCTGGGAACTAGCTAGAAAAAGTTCAAAAGTGTCTCTGATTGACGGCAACAGATGATATTTTTAAATCTACATGACGACGTCTGCCTCAGTCAACTTCCTTCAAATGCATAAATTATGCTAATATATTTTCTTTGAATGGCATATTTACCATTTTTTATAGAATTATTACGCATAGAGGCATATCACAGATGAAGAAGTAAGATTATACCTCGTGCCCATCACAATAAAGAAGCTGACATCCATAAAAGTCTTGCCTTTATGCTATATTTTGTGGGAAAGTGAGTGTTGACACTTCAGCGGACACTCGGAACAAGCACACGTGGAAGGCTCAGTACTCGATAACATGCTCTTACATATAATTGAACATTTTAAATCTGAATGTTGTTTTCTGGTTTTGTCTAAACTATAAGACCTCAACTAACCGCTGGCCATTTTACATATACCTATCAGCAAACCAGAGCCTTATTTCAGTAGACCGACACATCTTGAGCCTCAGATGACCGATGGTGCTGTGACAGCCCTATTCTCTACAGGAATTACAGGAATTACCATGGTCCTGTGATTCCAGATTCGTCCTGAGTCTAACCATTTGAGTGGTAGCACTATAATATGCTCATGGATTGTAAAAAAACACTGTTAGACATGAACCATCACTCACTCACTCACCTACCCACTCACTCACTCGCTCAACCATTCATTGTCTTCCAAAACATTTTTCATTCCCAAATTAATTTGATAATAACAAACTCGCGAGCCATCCGGCCATTCCACGTGTTTGACGGAAACAAAGGAAGTGCTTTCCCTGGGCGTGTTACAGCCTACAGTAAACACAGCAACCGATAGTATGATTAATTGTCAAGTGAACCTCGTCAGTGCAATATGGTTTAACAATGTAATCAATACGTACTATGTAGGTGGTTTTGTTTTGAATGTGTAAGGAAGTACTTGTATACTTGGCAGACATTAGTACAGGGCTTGAAGCCACTCCAGGTTGACCAAGTACAACCGTAAGTAGGCGGGTTACTGTGACACAAGTAGATGTTAGATTAACGCTTAGTCTCTGAATATATATAGTTTTTATAGTAACACATAAACCCATTTAAATTTAAAAGGTGCCCCAGTCAGATGGGAAATCCTGAACCTGGGGGAATCTAGACTTGCTTCATTTAGGGTTTTAGCATTCCAGAAAGGAAAATAATGTGGTTCAGGGACTCTGAGACAGACTAAAGTAGATAAAGAAATTGTTCAAACCGGTTTAGACATAACTGTAGATAAATTGGCTTCAAGGATGACTGTTTTATACTGAATAATGTATTTGTTTTGATGCATAAATGGCAAATAGGGAAATAGAAACCTAGTGACGCTGCTTTCAGCTGTATTTGTGTTTCCAGCTTAGGAATACAATTTTTATAACCACGACCGCGGTTCTGACAACCTATGGACGCAATGAGAGCGAATCATGGATTCGAACACAAACCAATACACTGGATTTAGATATATATCAAGTTGAATTATAATTTAAGATTATTATCTCAAAGAAACTGGATTTAGGTATACATGAAATATTCTTATTTCAAAGTTTGTTATCTCAAAGAAACTGGATTTAGGCACACATCAAATATTCTTATCTCAAATTTTGTTATCGCAAAGAAACTGGATTTAGGTATATATTAACTATTCTTATCTCAAACAAACTGGATTTAGGTATATATCAAATATTCTTATCTCAAAGTTTGTTGTCTCAAGAGCCCAGTTATCTCCGTTTACTTTAGATCCTATCATCCGGCCTTGGTTAGTTGTCCCACAAACTGATCTAAGCGAGGACGACGAAAGTTTCCATTAAGTAAAGATTGCTGTAGCCATGTGGTTTGAACGGATTCTATTCAGTCCTTACCCGTGGGTCAAAAACACTTATATATATATGGGTTGAGTAATTACAATGATTAATCCGAATGGTTGTCTTATTACCCTACTGCATGGGTAGGTAGTCATGCTATCAACCACCGGTTAGGTTTTCTTGATTACATCTATGATATTTACAGGGCGTCGGGATACAGTAGACATTTTCAATTCAACTACGTAGCCTACTGTATATGCAGCCTAGTGGTTAAAGCGTCCGCTCGTCACGCCGAAGACCCGGGTTCGAATCCCCACATGGGTTCAATGTGTGAAGTCCATTTCAGGTGTCCCCCGCCGTGATGTTGCTGGAATATTGCTAAAAGCGGCGTAAAACTAAACTCAGTCAGTCAGTCAGTCAGTATATGCATTTGCTTACGTGTTTCCCGACATGTCAAAGAATATGAACATCAACCTATTGGCCAACCGTGTCTTAATGAACAAGAATTATCGTATCTGATGGCAGTCGTACAAAGCATGACGAAAAACAACTATTGTTTTTTCCTGAACAAAAACGCTGGTTATCGGGTTTCCAAGTCAACAAATATATTATTTGAAGTAAATAGTGTATTCTTTAACATAGTCGTTGTATCCGTATAATACGAATTGCTAGCTAACAAAAGTTCGGTTTTGCATTCTACTAGCTAAGTATCATGAATAACAAGACCATGGGGCAACGACATTCGCAGCTCGATAACGTTTAAGTCTGGAAACCACAGTGCTGGTGTCGGTTTCCGGAAACTACCGAGGTTAACAACTGGATCAATATCGATGTATGAACTAGTCATCTTTTATTGTAACCAAACGACCCACTGATCGTACCTCAGATAACGGTTCTATTATGACGTTATATCTGACGAACCCCGTCCGCACACTTAATAGCTTCTAAAAGAAATTGCACTGTAGATCAACCTTATATAAACAGCACCTTTGTGTCTGAGAGTACGCTTTACCCTGGGATCGAAAAATCAGCGAAGGAAGAGTTCCGATATGCACCTGCAATTACAGCCTTCAAGAAAAGCGCTATAAACATCAGGAAATGGATGTCATATACAAAGGGAGGTAATGACTAATTCGCCGATAAACACATCAACGTCACTAATGTAGCGGCATTTGTATTAGGAATGCCACTCCACAACAATATTTATCGGCCATTCTAAGGTATTTCCCTAAGGAGAGGAAACGTGATGCGAGGCTATCTTACTTTGGTATGCTGAAAAAGCGAGAGGAGGAAGCACGTCTTTATCAAACATGGCCACGGACATTTAGCTACAGGCAGTTGGCTGAAAAATGACCACGTGACTGATCCTTCCTCCTCAAAATTATATTTCTATCACCACCAGCCCTCATTCAATACGACTTCACCAGATACACATTGCACTATAGGGAGCTGTAATGATATATAATAATACTTGTCTAACATGAAAGCAGAAAGCGACTTACAATATGTTACAGTGTGATTTAAACTAGATATTCCTTGTTTATCAAACAAGATAAAAGGTGACATTGTAGCGAACAAATTCGAATCAGTCCACATGTGAACGTGTGAACTTTACTTTCATCACGCAAAGGAATTATGGATCAATGTTTAGTTCTGGCCATTTTCCTTCTTGTCTAAATATTTTCACTAATATTACTAAAGCTCAAGGGAGAAGAGAGCGACCCTGTCTGACCCAAGTCTGCGAGGATGTGAGGGAATGTGTAGAAGGCCTCGTCAGACACAGCCTCTCCATATTAGATTTATCTTGTAAAGTGAGATTACACCCATAAATCTGAAATATTTATGTAAAATTAGACTGAAC